CGGGAGAGGGGGACGGAACCCAGGAGCTCGTGGCGTGTACCAAGTGCGGTGCCTAGGCGACAAGGCCGACAAAGGTGGCAGGAACCAGCGCAGCCTGTGGCTTCGGGGACTCCATCCTGGTGGCAGGAGGCAAGAAGGGTCCCGAACCGCCAGGCACAGAGTGAAAGGAGAAGGCGTCCCTGCTCTGCGCTCGCAGGGGCCACTGCCAGAGCATGCGCAGGAGCGGTACCTGGAGTGGCTTGGCATCGCGGCGGAGCCAGAGGTTGGCCCCTCGGCTGCAGCGAGCTCAGCTGGCAGCGCCTCCGCGGCGGCCGCAGCGCCCGCCGAGGTGGGGGGCCCAGGAGTGGCGCCCACTGTCGCGCCCGCCGCGGCCGTCGACGCCAGCCAGCCTCTGCAGCGCCCAGCCGAGTCACGGAAGAGGAGCTCGCCGCCGCAGCCATGGCAGCGGTCGGGGCCCTGGAGGACCGCAGGGTGCGCCGCCGCGCTGCCCGCCGTGGCGCGCCGCCCGTGAGTGAGTGAAATCGTGCATCGTTGTGGCCTGCGCGTGCTGCTCCCATAGGCGAATAGGCTTCCGCCGCGCTCGGTGCCCGCCTGGCTCGGCCTCTTTCGGGGGCGCGGGCCCCGTCTGGGCCTGCTTGCGTTTCTGGCCGCCACTTGCCTTTTATGGCCCCGCCTTTAACTTTAACTTTAACACGCAGGAGCATGGCAGAATAAGCAGGGACATGGCAGAACACACAAGAGCACGGCAGAATACACAGCAGCACGGCAGAACACGCAGGAACACGGCAGACCATGCAGAAGCACGGCAGAACACACAGGAGCACGGCACATGTCATTTTACATGCTTGGTGGACAAAGCGACGCTTCCCGTTCTTGCCCGGTCAGGTTTGTTTTAGTATTGTTTGACTCTTCCTGGGTATTTTTTGTATTTACTTAACAGCGAAGACTGATAGGTTTCTCGTGGTGTCAAAAGAAAGCATCGTGACTCCCCAGGGGGGTCTGGGCGGGATCCGGACGGGTGCCGGGGAAATCCGGATATTTTTTCAGCCAGCCGTAACGCACTTCGTGGTCTTCGAGTTCCCAGAACTCCATTCCTGGGCATGATTTTGAATGCCCGGAGCCAACTGTAGGCCACTTCGTGTTCTTCGAGTTCCCAGAACTCTGTTCCTGGGTATGATTTTGAATGCCCGGAGCCAACTGTAGGTCACTTCGTGGTCTTCGAGTTCCCAGAACTCCGTTCCTGGGCATGATTTTGAATGCCCGGAGCCAACTGTAGGCCACTTCGTGGTCTTCGAGTTCCCAGAACTCCATTCCTGGGCATGATTTTGAATGCCCGGAGCCAACTGTAGGCCACTTCGTGTTCTTCGAGTTCCCAGAACTCCATTCCCGGGGCCACATTTTGAATGCTGAGGCAGGCTGAGGCTGAGGCTGAGGCAGGCTGAGGCTGAGGCAGGCTGAGGCCGAGGCCGAGGCTGAGGCTGAGGCTGAGGCTGAGGCAGGCTGAGGCTGAGGCTGAGGCTGAGGCTGATGCTGAGGCTTAGGCAGGCTGAGGCTGAGGCTGAGGCAGGCTGAGGCTGAGGCTGAGGCTGATGCAGGCTGAGGCTGAGGCAGGCTGAAGCTGAGGCCCAGGCAGACTGAGGCTGTGGCTGAGGCTCATTCTGGCTGATGCTGAGGCAGGCTGAGGCTGAGGCCGAGGCTGAAGGCAGACTGATGCTGAGGCTGAAGCAGGCTGAGGCTGAGGCTGAGGCAGGCTGAAGCTGAGGCTGAGGCAGGCTGATGCTGAGGCAGGCTGAGGCTGAGGCTGAGGCTGATGCAGGCTGAGGATGAGGCAGGCTGAGGCTGAGGCCGAGGCTGAAGGCAAACTGAGGCTGAGGCTGAAGCAGGCTGAGGCTGAGGCTTAGGCAGGCTGAGGCTGAGGCAGGCTGAGTCTGATGCTGAGGCAGGCTGAGGCTGAGGCTGAGGCTGAGGCTGAGGCTGATGCAGGCTGAGGCTGAGGCAGGCTGAGGCTGAGGCCGAGGCCGACGGCAGACTGAGGCTGAGGCTGAAACCAGGCTGAGGCTGAGGCTGAGGCAGGCTGATGCTGAGGCAGGCTGAGGCTGAGGCCGAGGCTGAGGCTGGGGCTGAGGCTGATGTAGGGTGAGGCTGAGGCAGGTAAGGCTGAGGCCGAGGCTGAAGGCAGACTGATGCTGAGGCTGAAGCAGGCTGAGGCTGAGGCTGAGGCAGGCTGAGGCTGAGGCAGGCTGAGGCAGACTGAGGCAGGCTGAGGCTGTGACTGCGAGTGCCGTTGCCGCTGCGACTGTCATCGCGAATGCGACTACGATTGCGAGAGCAGCAGAATTCTACAACTGGATTCTCATCTGAATCTTAAGGGGAATGCTTCCAGATATGCTCCTACACATCCCTGTTAGGTTGCTTTGCCGGGATAATTTCAGTTTTTCGCCCAAGATCTGCCTGTAGGGGGACATGCCCTCCCTACAGTTACTGTCGATCATTTTTTGTT